ATATGAGATAACTATTAAGATAAAAAATCCTTATCTTCATGATCATCCTCCAACAAACGAAATATAAATCTGAATTTTATGGAAAAAGATATTGCAAAAACAAAAATTACTATAAATAGCAAAAACGCCTAAACGAGGGTCTAAACGATGGATTTTGCTCAAAATTAGCCTTGCATTAGGGCCAAAGGCCTTGCGTTTTATTTATTGGCTCGACTCCGATCGAATTAGACTAGCAATTCGCCAAAAACAAACCGACCCAAAGTTATCATGAAATCAAAAAAACATTATTTTGCCTTGCGACGGTCCCATTTCATCATAAACTCTAATCCCTTATGGACTTCATCATTCCCATCTAAAATTTTTAGTTCTGCCGGATTAACGTTTGAAATGGGATTCTCCCTATTTGCTACCCAAACTATAGTTCTTTGACTAACATTTTTGTACCATGTTCCAACATGATACCTTGAAGAATTACCTGGTCTAGTTTGCAAACAAAGATTGGCTTGCTGTGATGCTGTTAGCTCCTTCAGAAAGATTAAGGCTTATAGAAAAACAACACACAGATTACAAAACAAGAACTCTTTTTATGATCACGGCTCCAAGAAGATGGGCTAGAGAGAGAAAGAGAGAGAGGGATGGGGGGGTTGAGCAAATCGTTGTTTTCTTTGAAAATGGTTCCATTAAGTGAAAAAATGTAGATGAACTCATGACTGAAGAAGCCGAACAATGATTCTGCTTTGAGTCGAGTCAATTCGTTCACACTGAATTACCATTGTGCCATCAGAAAATGACAGCGGATGAAAAAAGTAATTCTATGTTAACTAATTAATTTGAAGCAAAATGTTATTTTGCAACAGTTAATCGATCAAAATCACCCAATCATCTTCAGCCATCATCAACAATATCAACTTAGACACAAAGAAATTCACCGCAGTACAAAATAAAAGCAAATTTTTGTTGTTTTAAGAAAATTTTGTCTAGCAAAATGCAAATTTTTCAGCAAGGTTCTTCATGCTAAATAACGATACATTCTTCTTTGTCGAATGATGATATTGATCAACATTGAATTTGTAGACTACTTTTATTACAAAAATGACAGTCGTAAGAGCAAAGTTGAAATGGAATTTCAGATGACTATGATTTGCATGAGTAAAAATGGATTAAAAGATATTTTTCATTTCTCTTATCTATCTAACGTCCAATTCAACATCACAAACTTTTTTGTTTTTTCAAATTAACTTACATTAAGATTTGACTATTTATTGAGCATGAAATTATTCATTAGTCAATCTCTGCATTTTTGCTATGCTCTTTGAACTTGATAATTAAGAATTGTTGAGAAAAATAACTCCATTGTTTAATTTTACTCAAATTAAGAAGGAATTTTAAGAATTGAAAAGTTGATTGCTGAACTAGAATCACCGATATCAGAAATTACATGGAACTGAATGACAAAATATCCGAAGTTTAAAGAGTGATTTCAATTATTAAATGTTCGCACCGAACCAATGTCCATTTTTATAATTTGTTGTTAATAACTATGTCATATTTATTAGCTTTTTCAAAAAACAAATAAATAAAAATAAAACCAGCAATCAGAACAATTAATGAAGTTATTGAAAAAATTGAGTAGTTTAAAGAAACGTGCAAAGTTTGATAAAACTATTTAAAGTTCATGTAAAAATAAGTCAAACCATACCTTAATAATTTTTTTCTTACTATTTTTTCCCCTAAATTGTTATGATTGAAACTAATCTGAATTGAAACATATTCGATTATGGTTCGGTTCTAGTAATTACATGAAGTAGAATTTCATTTACAAAATTTTAAAATTTAATCGATGCTTCTAGTTCTTGAAATATCCCGATTGAACCATTAGATGCACCCCTAAGTTTCATAAAACCCATAACTACCATTCACTTAGAGTGTGTCTTATTGATTTTATTTTTTATAAAAAAAATGTTATATTTTCATCCAAATTCCTACTTTTTGAGTGTTTGATTGACAATTTTTTTTTACATGAAAAATATTTTTAGACTTTTGATCACATGATCATATTTTCCTCATAAACAAGGAAAACATTTTCTTTAGATAGGAGTGATTTTTATTTTTCAGTTAATTTACTCTACCTTTCTCTCTTTCGTCATCCCCTCTCTCTCATCTATTGACCAATAAAAAATAGATAAGTGTAATATTTTCTAAGTCAAAAAATAAATCAACCAAATACATTTAGACCATTCAGATAATGCATAGAAGGAAAAAAAAAATGTCATTACTTGATATTTTAGACATCATCAATTGCATGTCTATTCAACCCTCTAGCACAACAATTCCTTGGCTAATCTTCCACAAAGAAAAAATGTACAAACAACTAGAAATGAGAGGAAACCTGCATATCTGGACTTCTTGCTAATAAAACAAGTTCGTGGAGATTCTTGTTGAGCATAAAACGAGTGGAAGGAAATAAGAAAAATTTCCTCAGCGCCCTTGTGGCAAACATACCGTCAACTCATTGTTGGAGAACAAACCCGGTTGATTAGAGGGCGAGCATTTTCTCATTACAAAAGCTAGTTGATTTGGGATTGGAAGAACTACAATTTCTCCACTAAGCATGAAAACTACATTTGACATGGAGGGGCGATTACTGGGGTCTTCTTCTACATGCAATAGCTCAACATTTATGCACTTGATAACTTCAGATTTCTCTCAAAATTCGAGGAGTATTGGGTCAACTATGTCTAATGCCTTGTTTTCACTCCACAATCAACATACCTGGGTGAATAATTTAAAAATATTTTAGACTGTGAATTGGCTAAAATGTTGCATATAGCTACTTACGTAACCCAAAAGATTCAAGTTTTCTTTAGATTGGTAAAATCCTGTGTTGCCCGAAAACATCCATCACGTATCGAGATTTAATGGAAGGATTATAAAGAGAATATGTGTAGTAACTCTCATTAACATTGTCAACATAACCATGACTATACATTTTGCTCAGCCTCATCTCAGGGATTAAACTGAAAAAGAGCCCATTCCAAGCTCAACTAGTCTAGTACTATTCAGTCCTATTCCATCTTATAATAATTTGACTCCCATTTGGATCTAATTCAAAAGAGAAAAGCCCAGGTGCAGGATCCTCAAGAGTTTTTCCAAAAAGTGAGAACTTTCTTTGTTTCTGAACATTTATCGTAGGCAAGGCTGCTACCAGGCAACAATGTATCTGTTGGATTATCAAAACTTTGCCAAAATCCTTCACTTGTCCTAGGTTCTGACTCGTATCTCAAAACTAAATTTCCATTATCACCTAGAGTTGCCACTCAAGAATTTGAGGTTGTCAAGTTTACATTTGTGGACCAAACTGAAACCTGAGACTCATCCATAAGCATCAAATGTCCGTCTAAAATTTTAAATTCTGCAGATCTGACCCTATTTGCTACCCAAACTATGGTCATTGGAGTAACATTTTTGTACCAAATTCCAATATAATAACTGGAAGAAGTACCTGGTGTGAAGAATCCTAGTTCAAAGATGTTACCAGAAGAGACAATTGTCTGGCTTCCAGAGAGAGGCTGATTTGCTGCAGTTTATGATGCTTGGATTTGGGTATGAGTACGTATTTAAATGTCAGATATTTTATTTTTTAAAATGTAGGTTATGGGGATACTGCTAAAAAGAGTCCAAAATTTGGATACTAGTACATGATTACGTCTTTTAAGCTTCAATTTTTTTACTAATTCAAGCCGTCATTTTGAATAAACCAAAATCAATTGTTCACAAAGAATGAAATAAATATTGAATAAGAGGTTAAGACGAATAAAATAAAATTTTAGGACTTAATTTTCAATTATGGAAAGTTAATTACTAAGGGTCCGTTTGATCGCAAAGATGGAATTTGGGTAGAAAGAAAACGAATTTCAAGAAATTGAATTACCTAGAAATTGTCTTCCAGGAAACTGTTGTCTCTGAAGGATGCTAAAGTACGAAACCAATAAAAATTTAAATAATTAATAAATTTCTTCTTCTTTTTATTTTTTTCCTTCAAAATAGTAATTTAAAATTGATAAAATCGATTTCAGAAAAAGTTGTTAAGAAGTTACATGATAAATAGGATTACTTGCATGTAAAATTTTATGTTAAAATAATCGAGCCCCATTATTTTTTCATTAAAATGAAAAATATGATCTATATTCATCACATCAAGTCACCATATTTGACTTTTTACCTTTTGTGTGATGTTTATAACGACTATATTTTTTATTCTCATTTTTACAATAATGTGGCTCAAACGGGAGCTAAATCAGATTTAATTAACTTGTTTGATTTAGCTTAAAAGTTAGAAAGAATCGAGAAAAATGATTTCTTTAGACAATAAAAAATGTGTTTTGTGCCAAAATAACACGATAAACGTACTACTAGAAAAATAGAATGAGATTTGTTTGCTACATATTACCATGTCATGTTTGGTATAAATTATAATCAAATTTTTAGTGAAAATTGATGAAATATGTAATTAAAAAATTATGATGCCACGAAATATATAATTAAAATTAATCATGAAAATTGACACAAAAATTTAATATAATTTTAATCTATACAACCTATTTCAAAATTAATTGTTCCAATGGTCATTGAATTTAGGTTCATATTTTTTATTGGTCACTGAAAGTTCTTGTCATTGAATTTAGATCAATGTCTTCAATTGCTTATTTAAGTTTAAAATGTCGAATTTCAACCATTGAATTTTGAAAAATATTGTACATTATTCACTACTATAAATGTTAATTTTAAAAAATATTGAATTTACAGTGAGTAACGTATAATATTTTCAAAATTTAGTGGTCAAAACTCGACATTTTAAATTTTAGTAAGCAATCAAAGATATGAACATAAATTTAGTAACCAAAATTTGATATTTTAAAGTTCAATAATCAATTAAAGATATGAACCTAAGTAATTTAGTGACTATCCCTATTTCACTAATTATAGACTAATGCTTCAACTTTTAAAAATATTCGCTCTCGCTGTCACATTGATAACAGATCGACACTTCCAATTTCAGGAGTTTTCTTCATTGAGTTAGGTTCATGCTCGAACAATGGCGAAGCTTGTTCAATTGACAAGAACAGTATTCAGATCCCTAAAACATCAATCATCATTCACTTTCCAATTACAATCTAGAAGATCTTCTTTTTACTTTTTGAATACATATTTTACAAAACCCTGGAATTATTCTCCCAATCCGAGAATAATCTTCACGTCATGCAGCTATTCTTCTGTCATTGAAGAATTTCAGACCCCTACAACCATTGATTACCGGTAATTATATTCCCTTTACATTTTTTCCCTTTTTTTTTTTTTTTTTTAGTTTAAGTTTTTTTTTTTATGAATTTGGAAATTGAGAAATTTGATGGTTTGAAAATTGATTTTCCATAAATTTTAGGTAATAATATATCGATACATGTACAGTTCTGTGCTTCCGGAAGAGAAGTATCACATGTTGGCTAATTCCACGATCCATGACCTGCTAGAGAAGCTAGAGGTAACTATCTCAAATTCAATTCTTTGTTTGAAGTTTGACATTAATATGCTCTGGAATTTTTAGAGGATTCTTTCTATCATTTTTTTTTCATCAGCATAAAACTGTAGTAGTACTTAGCCTGAATCTCAAGATTGTCTGGTTGGCTCATTAACCTAGAATTGTAACGTGATTTGTATTTACATATGTTCGATCTAAGCTACAATGCATGAAAACAAGTCTCCAGTTATGTATGACAAAAATTTTATTTTTTTGAAATTTTTGAGGGTTGTAGTTTGTGTGTCAGGAGGGTTTATAAGTGTCAATTTTATAACTTTGGCTTTGTTGGTCTCTATATCTGCCCAGATGTTCACGTGGTGACAGTGTTATCCAGAATTTGATACAGAAAGTAAACATAGAAGGAAATAGAAAAGAAGAGTGAATAATTGAAGGGGGATTTTCAGTATTCAATATTCAATAATCACTAGTCTGTTTAAATTCATTTCCAAATTCCCCTTTTATAGTTGTGCATAACTTGAATTCAAGGGAACTTTTAATACATTACAAGCTTACAATATCAAAGTCTATCTAATCTTGTCTAAATTTGAATTGCTCCTATTTTTCCTAAAGTAAATCTGTAACCATGTTAAGTCCTCAATTAGGTCTCTTTCTCCTTAGAATCCCTGTCACTGGTTTTCGAAATCTACGTCTTTTCACTTATTTACTTTACCTTGTTGAGAAGCAGTGACAGGTGGATCTAATTTTCAACGAAAAATACCTGCTAATGGTTTACCTGGCTGTGCTTAACTAGGAGGATTTACTTCGTTAATCTCATTTTTAGGAATATAAATTAGTTGCATAAAATAAGATATATGTGCATTACTTATCATTGATAGTCTGCTTTTCTTTGTTGCATGGCAAGAATATGGAGACTCTGTGGAGATTGATGGTTTCGATGTAGACTATGGGGTAAGAATGATGGTTTGATGTTTGAAAGTGGTTAATTTTGAAAACATTTTGTGTCTGTGCTGCTGTAAATATGGGTTTCATTTTGTACAATGAGGTATTAACTCTGAAGCTCGGGAATTTGGGAACCTATGTAATAAACAAGCAAACGCCAAATAGACAGATTTGGATGTCATCTCCCCTGAGGTACTGATCCCTCTAACTCAAATCAGTTTATCTTTTGAATTTTGACCTGTCTCTTTCAATACGCTTTGTTGATGTTTGGCCTGGGATTTTAGAAAAGAAGTTTGCTTTGAGTCATATTCTTTGCTTTAAGTAGAAGAATTGCTGGATTTTGGATTTGGTTCTTCTTTTACTGTTACTAAAAAGAAAGAAAAATCAAGTTTTAAGTTCTAAATTTTTTGAAATCTTACTTTTATAGTCCTTAACTATGAATTGAAACCCCAACTGGCAGTGCCAGGTTATTGCAAACTGCAATGATTAAGGAGAAAGGAAGTGAGAAAAACGCGATATCTACCTGGGCTATTTGCGATAGAGAGGACATTACATACCATGACGAACATTGTTTATGTTGCGCACTTCAATGAGCACTTTTGTTGAACTCACTCTGATGAGTTGACTGCATCATTGGTTTATGAAGTGTTGACAACAAGTTACTTAATGCTTTTGGGTTTTCTTAGCCATAATGTAACCTGTCTTTGATACTAACTACTAAGTGTCGAGTTGTCAAGTTTAGCCACAAACTACCTTGTGATACTATTAAGAAATTCCATTTAGTCAACATGTAGGATTACAAACGGTTTGCACTCAAGCCAGGGCAACAAACACGCAACACATGTAATACATACAAAAATTTCAAAACTTTATCAACTCCAAATTAAGGAACTTGTAGGATTACTAAAGGTCCACCTATGGTCATCAATTGCCAGTATTCTACATAGTTGCTTTAATCAATTGGCACTGCTCCATTTAGGTAGATAACTCATACTGAAAATATTGAAAAAAGTCCTTCCCAGTTAATTCAACAAATTGATCTGTCAACCTGCTAACCACCTGCCAGAAAGAAAATATTCATTTGCTAGGAAAAAGATATTGTTATGGGTAGATGATGCTTTTGTTGTGGTCCAATGAGGAGAACTTCAAGGGATTGCTGGGGAACAAGGGCACATAAGTAGTTGCTCCATATTGAAACAAATAGTGTTTAACATATTTATTGTTATCATTTTTAAAACAATTGTAAAACAAATGTAACTAGTGTTTTTACAGAATGTGCATGTATTGTTCACGCTCCTTATTTTTTTCTCTAGTATTTGAGGTGTTTTGAAAGAACTGAGTGAAATTTCTGCAAATAACCTTGTAATTTAAGAGTTATTGCATTAATCAAGTATAGTTTGAATTTAAAAGGAGTGGGCGTCCTTGTTGCATTAGTTAAGGAGGTTGATCAGAAGTGGAATGATTTCGGTATGGATGATTTTTTTCTAAAATTGGAACTATGCCTTTGCATTTTTACTCTACTTGCTCACTTGAAAGTTGGATGAGAAGAGAACCCAACTCCAAAATCTGCCCATCTATTGGAGTTGGGTGAGTTCACCTGCCATTTTACTGAATTTTTCCTTTTTCTTAGCAAGGGTGAAATATATTTATTGTCCATTTTTGACCAAAAAAACTGGACATGACTGTTCTTCATTTCGCCAACTAAAACAAGGCGACTTAAAATCATTTGCCCTTTTTATACTGCAGTTGATATATGCGAGCCAATGTATATTAGTTTCTTTTACTTTGTATTAGGCATATAGATGAGTATGATATGCATGTTTTCTTGGAAAATTGCGTTATTTGATTAGATGTCCATGCCTTCATTTTCCTCTGTGTTTGCTTATGAAGATTAAACTTTCTTTTGCAGTGGCCCATCTAGGTTTGATTGGGATCAAAATACCCAAGCTTGGATTTATAGGCGAACTAAACGGAACTTGATCAATGTTTTGGAAACTGAGTTGGAACAACTTTGTGGGAAGTCCATTAACCTTTCTTCAGCCTAAAGTCGTAAAATAAATGTAACTTCTCCAGTAGTCATTGGTACGATAGTGATTATCTTTTAATCAAATGTGATCTCTCTTTTTATTTCTATTTACCCCTTCTAGTTACGATTTCACATGCTCAACTGTTTGTAATCGTAAATTATGCTACTTCATAATTAATAAATTATGTCCACTTATATAATGACTAAGATTGCGATCAAGCTCTAACAACATATATTTAGTGTGTCACGCCATTATATTTAATAAATTATATCCGCTTATTTAATATAGAGCATGTACCAACAGTTATTACATTCTCCCTCCAAAATTGATTACATTTGTAGATAGTGTGTCACGTTACTTGATGCTTAGGAGATTGGTCTTCTCATGTATATATGCCAAGTATATGAATTCACCAATGCAATTCATAATATCACGTAACACAATACATAAATAATACTATGAATCTGTTTGGTAGTGATTTATGAGAATTGATTTTTTTACCATTAGAGAAAAAACTAGGTTTTACATATGAGTGAAGAAGTAAAAAATGACGGCTAAAATAGTGAAATAACGGTCAAAAAATTGATTTTTTTAGGTGAAAAAATTGCTACCAAAGCAACTTAGATTCTGGCATAACAAAAAAATGATAGCATTAATGGCAGGGAATAAGTAGATTCCTCATCGCCCTTCTTCAATAGACATTGTTAACTCATTGGAAATTGAACCCGGTTTAGTAGAGGATGAAGAAGTGTTTGAAACGGGTTTTCTCATTATGAAAGCTGGTTGATTAGGAACCGGAAGAATTGTTGCTTCGCCACCAAGCATGAAAACTACATTCGACGTGGTGGGCCGATCACCGAGATCTTCTTGCACACACAATAGCCCAACATTTATGCACTTCATAACTTCAAATTTCTTACAAGATTCAAGCAATATTGGATCCATTAAATCCAATGCCTTGTTTTCACTCCACAATCTCCATGCCTGCACAAATTAGTTTCGAAGTATACATTAGACTGGGAAATTTCTAATGGTTATATATGTCGAAACAGAGGATATAAATGGTGGGATTTAGCCACTTACGTAACCTAAGAGATTGAGGGCTTCTGTGGACCGATAAAATCCCGTGTTTCTTTTTCCACTAATTATCTCGAGTACAACAACTCCAAAACCAAATACGTCTTATTTCATCGAGAATAATCCATCTAATGCATACTCCAGAGACATATATCCACTGGATCAAAATAACTAGTTGTTAGCATGAAACATATGTATGTATCTACACACGCGCGCGCACACACGAATTTTTATTTTATTTGGTGTCTATATCTATAAGCATTGCTTAATTCTTGTTGGTACAGAGGAGCCAATTTATGTACACAGCTTTGGATGGGAAAGAAGAAATGAAGACTAGTGACCTAGATAACCGTATTCAACCAACTAGACATGCAAACTTGAAATTGGCTACAAGGAGAACCATACCAAAATTTGGTCTACTGAATCGCAATACAAGATTTTCACTGTAGCAAGTAAAGATGAGGGTTGTGTTTGGCGCAGATGGATCCAGATGATGCTTTGCTTGATTTTGATAAGATGCAAGCAAATTGAACAACCAAAAGACAGGCAGGCTTTATCGCAGATTCATTTTCATCTCTCCAATAACATTATGTAGGATGTATCAAGGAGAAAATGAAAGCTACTTTGTGGTTAAAACTGGAGCAGTTGTGTATGACTAAAAGTCTTACGAGCAAACTGCATCTAAAACAGATACTGTATTTCCATTGCATGGTAGAGAGAGGATGGCTGGAAGATCACTTGGCTGTGTTCAGGGAAACCATCGCGGACTTGGAAACATTGGAAGTCAAGTATGATGAGAAGGATTTGGCCTTGATCCTATTGTGCTGGATGCCCGCTTCTTATGCGTTGTTTCGGGACACGATTCTGTATAATCATGACACACTCACTATCAACGATACATACGATGCTTTATTCTTAAAGGAGAAGATGAAGTATCTAGTTGAAGCTATATCTAGGGATGAGGAAGCTTTGATATCTCATGGTGATCGACGAAGGGACAGATTGAAAGTGAACTTCAGCAATTTGTATTGCTTCTACTATACGAGGAAAGGACACGTCAAGAAAGATTGTAATAAGTTGCAAGTTAAAGGTAATTTAGCTAAAAATTATGGGAAGCAATCATATAATTTGAAGAGACCAATATTGCCGATGACTTTTTCGGATGGCAGAGATGTGGTGTTAACCGTATTTGACATGGAGTCTAAGCCTGACAAGGGATGGATTTTGGATTCAGCATGCACGTTCTATATGTGTTCCAATCGGGACTTGTTTGAGGCATATGATGCGATTAAGTAAGATGGAGTTGTCATGGGAAACAATCAATCTTGTGGGGTTGTTGGAATCGGTCAGGTCAAATTGAAGTTGTAAGATAGGACAGTCAGAATACTTGGCCAGGTTTAACATGTTTCAAACTTGAAAAATAATTTCATCTCATTGAGTACTCTAAATTCAAAGTAGTATAAGTTCTCTGGTGGAGGTGGGGTCTTGAAGATCCGAAGGTGTGTCTGGGTTATACTAGAAGGACGGAAGAAGTTTTAGTTGCTAGAGACATCTGGATAAGTTTTGGTACTGGGGTGGAAATTCAATTTGATACAGTTTATGATGGGCTTTTAGTCAGTTCAGAACACTGTTAGGGAAAGCACTGGTGATTCCGCTTTGCCACCAATTTCAGCGGATAAGTGTTCAAATGCTATATTTGGATCCATTGAGCGTAGGTACGATGTTGGAGATATCTGTAGTGCTTTCCAAAATTTCTAATCAGGCATTTTGTGTGGATTTTGTTATAGGATGTGCTTCGACCCTGTTTGGTCAACATTAATTCCTTGTTGAAATTTTGGGAACCTGGAATTAGGATTCGGGTGTCGCTTGTGGATGCCGGGCAGATGATGAAGTTTTTCGTGAGGTGGAGAGTTTCGGTTACTATTTGAGGAACTTGATTATTTCGATACAATTAGACATATTTTTCCAAGTGTAGAAATTTTGGAACTTTGTTTGTTGCACTGAGATTTGGGTCAAGGTGGAAATTGTTAGATTTTGTGTCCCAAATTATAGTTATTTTTTAGAAAAATATTGTTTCCTTATTTTCACTTGATTTTATTGGAAAATATTGTTTTCTTATTTTTATGTGATTTTATTAAAAAATATTTTTTCCTTTATTCCACATTTTTATATTATTTTCATATTTATGATATTTTTAGGGTTTGTCATGTCCCTATAAATATGTAGCTTTTCATTCAGTTTAGGTGAAACTTTATTATTCAATTCTTGTATTTTCTCCACATATTATTTTTAATAAAACATCGAGTTCTCTGCTAATCTCTCTTCAATTTCTTTACTTTAATCTCGTTTTCTTCCTTGTGATCATACATATTTCATATTATTCATTAATCTCAATTCTTGCATCACCTCCGGGTTCAACAGTCTTGAAAAGTCTTGCTTAGAACGTTGTGATAATGCTTGAAAGTTCGCGAGATGCTATGATCACGAATTCAAATTTTAGTGTTACCAAGTTTACATTCTAGATTACCAATTAGTTCGATCTTACGTGCCGAATTGACTTATCAAAGTAAACGCATCACTTTTAATTAGTTTCTAGATGGTTTTTTTTTAAACAAGAACTTTATTCAATCACCCCTCACTTATGGCGGAGGAATACCGCTGGGGTCAAAATAACAAAGCGAAAAAAAAAACAAACAAACAAACAAGCCATGTAGAACTAATCAACCTATCTAGTTACACACATCAACCTTACAATTATTGCCTAATATTTGGAAAACCAAGTTTCTCCGTATGAATAATACCTCTTAACAAATTTGGTATTTGATCTATGTGCATGTAACTCATCGTGATACCATCTGTCCCTTGTTTGGCTAGAAAGTTTGCGGCTCTATTTGCTTCTCTATATTGGTGAGAAATGGTAAAACTGATTCCATCAAGTAATTTTAGTAACTCCTCCCAATAATCCCACAAATACCAAATCCTACATGAACGGTTTGTTAACCAGTTTACCACAACAGCTGAGTCACACTTAATTTCCACCTATTGGAAGCCCATCTCTTTACATAGCTCTACACCATTTATCACAACACGCAACTCCGCTTCATTGTTACTTCCAAATCCATATGTGGCAGAAAAGCCAGCAATCATATTACCATGATGATCCCTGATAACTCCCCCACCTCCACAAGGTCCCGGATTACCAAGACTACTCCCATCAATATTGAGTTTTACCCAACCATCAGCAGGTTTCCTCCAAGAAACAAAGAGAGTTGGTTTACTCATCTTCGAACTCATAGGCACCTCTAAGGCTTTGAGGAGTTCATTGTCTATTTTACTTAGTTTTGAGACTTTGACAATTTCTCCAACTAAGAGGCACAACCAAACCTTTATTTTAAGCCATACCTCCTCCGTAGATTCTCGAATCTCTTCCATACGTGCCATACATCGCCGTCCCCATAGTTTCCATGTTATCAAGCTTGGTAATAGCCCAATTAGAATTCCACGTTGTGAGGCATTTTTGCGCATGTGAACCATCTATTGACTCTTGTCCACCAAGATTGTGGCCCCATATAGTGCACACCCAAGGCTAAAGATGCCCACTTCCAAACTGTCCTAGCAATATCCCCAGAGTTAAGTACATGATCAAGTGTTTCCACTTATCCATTCTCACAACAATCACAGCGTGAAGCTAGAGCAATTCCTGTTGATCTCACCTTAGTATCCACACTTAAGCAGCCAAACTTCACCTTCCACATACAAACAGAAATTTTTTTAGGTAGAAATTTATGCCATATCCATTTCATCCAAGGAATCTCTGGACTCCTCACCCTTACAATATCCCAGGCGCTTGAAGTGGAGAAATCTCCATTATCGTTCGGCTTCCATATGATAATATCACTTCCTTCTTTTCTGGCACCAATGGTTTGTACAATTTCCTCTGCCTTTACCTCCCCCACTAGCTCTTGAAGATGGGCGAGATCCCAGCCATCTTCAATCCAACAGTCTCTAACCTTCAGTCTTGGGTTGGTTACCTCCAAGGCCTGCTCATTTAATAGGCCACTAGCTAACCAGCGATCATACCAAAATGAAGCTGACCCATCTTTGATCTTCCATTTTGAATTTTCATACACCTCAGGTAGCACCTTTACGATTGATTTCCACAAGCTTGATCCACTGGTGTTAGAGTTGACCAAAAGGTGACCGTTCTTTACGTATTTGCTATGGATAAAACTGGACCACAAACTATTACTCGTCATAAGCCGCCATGCAAGTTTCATGTGGAGGGATCGTTGAATTGTAACAAAATCCCATACCCCAAGTCTACCCTCTATAGTTGGCATACATACTTTAGACCAAGCACGCCATTTCTTTTTCTGTTTACCATTACTCTCACCCCAGAAAAAAGTAGATAATAAGGAGTTTATTTTGTTGAGAGTTATCTTCGGAACATTTACCACTGCTAACAAATGTGTTGCCATACATGTCAGAACTTGTCAGATTAAAATAAGTCGACCTCCTTGAGATAGTAGTCTCATTTTTCAGCCTGCTATTTTGGTTCGAATTTTGGCTACCAAAATCTCCGAATGCCTAGCTATAAGATGACCAGAGGTGATGGGCACCCCTAAGTAGACCACTGGGAATTTCCCTTCAGTAAAACCAGTAAGTCGAAGCAAGTTCCTCTTCCTTGTATAGCTTATCCTTCTTGAAAAGAAAATTGCCGATTTCTCAGTATTGATCAATTGCCTCGACCACTTTTCATATGTATTCAGTGTCTTCATGAGCATTTTTATAGATTTACTACCTCCATTCACGAACACTACTACATCGTCGGCATATAGCAGATGTGAGACCAAAGGGGCCCCAACAGGGTGATAGAACCTCCCAAAGCTGCCATCTTCAAACCTCTTGCGTAAAAGATGTGTTAAAACCTCTTCCATAATGATGAACAAATAAGGAGACAAAGGATCGCCTTGACGGAGCTTAGTATTCTAGATGCTTAAGCATACAATTCAATTAAGCCTATGTTTGAATACTACATCTTGTAATAAATTGTTGAAAAGTAGAGAACACAAAACTTGATGATGGAGAAACTTAATGTGGGAAAAACTCTGAGATTAAGCCAGTTACCTCCATTATAGGCAGTTCAAGGAATACACATCAATTCCAACTATTGTATCCACTAAGACCTGCTGTCACAGTCTCATGATCTACTGTCGTAGATACCTCTAGCCCGCTAGACCTCCTATAGCCTCCTGCTACCAGAGATGCCTCTAGTTTCCTACTAGACTTCCTGATCTATTTCTTGCAACCCAATATGCTATCTCCTATGGCCTCCTGGTCTTATACTAAATGTCTCTCCAAGTGAAATACCAAGAACCACCTGTTTTTATGCTTGTAACTGCGCTTCAATCCACTTCTCTCAATCCCCCAATGAGAAATCCCCTTCGTCAAAGACTTAAGGAAGCTAGGTGTTTTGGATTCAAGGGTTTGATGCTTTTTCCCAAAACTTTGTTGTAGGATCTCAATAATCAAAAGTGTTGAATCAATGAATAATGTCTTGGATCTCTTGAATAATGATATGAAAGTGTTATAGATGTGAAAGCACAATGAGCAACCTTGAAATTTTCATCCATGACTTTGGTATTTATAGGCGGGGGCAAATAGATGTCATGGACCATGTAAAACTCTTCAAATCGAGACCTTGGGTTTGGCCGGATACAAATGTCGCTCAAGCAAGTAGCTAGTGACAGCTGAGCAGTCGTCAGTATTTTCATCATAACTTTCACTTGCAATGTCCGATTGAGGTAATTAAAAATGAGTTGGAAAGCTCACTCAAAGAGCTACAAATCTTTTGGAAATAGCATTGCCCAAACTCCAATGTTTTCTATGTAAAAAATGCGTTGCAAGTTATAATTGAGAATTTGGAACATAACTTGTGTCGTTCTTGATATTCTTTAGACTTCTAATTGTATTCCAATGATCATATGTGATATTTTTGAACATCTTGGACTCTTTCAAGGGCTATACTACCAAGTCTAAAAGATTTTTTGACCTTTACAACTCCTTTACATTAATCCATTTGTCTAAAGAATTGCCAATACACTAAAAACCTAACAAGTCTTGATACTTTAATATTAAAAATATGAGATTTTAGGTTTCAAATCTATTTAAATATATAAATCTTGGATCATCAAGTGACAAAAATGATTAATGTAGACGTTAAAACTTTCACATAATATAAAGTTTGAGAGCAAAATTATCAACTCACTGAATACTCGTTTTCAAAGATTTTATTAAAATATTTATTTCTCAAAATCATTTTCGGTAGCACATTTTATAGAATTCATAAAAAAATTTCCTCATTTTTTAAATAAACATTCTTTAAAAAAATATTTTTCTTTTTCCTCACTGATTCAAAAAACCCGACAAATGATTAACAAATGATTATGGTAAAGAGCATTTGGGGCACTAGTGGATCTAAAATAACAGTTTTAATGTTTCCCTTTTATCTCTCGTTATCCACAAGTATTGTCTTCCCTTCTTTCAAATTTTTTACTTTTAGCTTTTAAAAGGTGATATCTCCCATAAAGATATAAGGAAAAAAAGGTAAAAAGGAAAAAGAAACTAATAAAGATGAGGGCTTATCCATATAATTTGCAAATTATTCTTTTAAGGGTAGAAAAGGAAATTACAAAATGATTCACATGACTCCTATTCACCTCATCTCATCGGAACCTATCCCCATATCATCACTGTATTTGTCTTCGTGGGTAATACGGTCATTTAACTGTGGTGATGATAGGCAACTTGAACATCAACTTAAAATAAAGGGTAAATTATTCTAGCGGTCTTCTACCTTTCATCAGTGTAATAATCATGTCCTTAACATTTCATTTATCACATCTATATTCCCAATATTTTTAACAATGAGTGTGCGGTATCCTGATTACGGAAGAACTTCTATTTAGTTGTTGAATATCTAGGCTACATGCAAATTATGTATGATTGAAAGGGTAAATTTATTGAAAAATAGCGAGATTTAATGTAAGGGAAATTATATGGAATATAGGCTTCTTCTTCTTCTTCCTTTCATTTTTTTTTAATTGTTGCACCACTTTTTAATTTTGTTAAAGGTCTTCAACCTTTGTTCATCGTCGCTTGTCAATTATATAATTTTTAGTCACTGTCTAATAATCAATATTTTATTTATTAGTACATTTAGTTCATAATGACGATTTCCATTAAAAAAATGCATCACAAAGGCATAAAAGATTTGTTCATCGTTTGAATACCAATTTATAAATGATTTGGGTGGAAGCACAAAAGGAGAAAGGGGGGAAGAAGTGAACCTTATCGCATGGGATATTCTCACAAGTCAGAAGTGAAATAGCACCAAGAGCCTAAAGAAAGGAACCAAAAAGCTCTGCGTCGAACTTCAGCCCCTTCGAGTTGGCCACGGGGCAACAGCCTTGGAAATTCCATTAAACTCAAATATTAATTTTAACCACATATTTATTATTTACAGCCACCATTCCTTATTATTTACACATTTTGTGAGACTCATTACAATTCATCTATATAAACTATTTATAAAATTGTCAAATGGAGTCTTATTTGCTCCTCATATCTCTAAATTTTAAAAAAAAAAATTAACAATATATGAAATGTAACAGAATAACAGTTCTTTATTTCAAAGCATGTGAATTGAATATTTTGGACATAACCATTATTACGACTAAATGTGCTAATTAATAGAAGATTAAGGATAAGTATACATTAGAAAAAGGTGAAATTAAATGTGCGACAAACAAACAAAAATTTTAAGCATTTAGTGCAATTTACAGAAATGTAAAAACAAAAGAACAAATATGATATAAATATAATCATCTTTAATGTTATTTGAATTGTCTGTTGATCCCAAAGGCGACACAAAGATTGAAATTAATGACGTTATATGAAATATGTAACAAGATCACAAAAATGAAACAAGATTAAAGTAAATAAATCAAAGAAAGTTAAGCAGAGGAAACGATGTTTTATTATAACAATGATATGGAGAAAAATTACAGCACAGTAATTTTGGCTTGAACTAAACTAAAAGAAGATGCCACTATTTACATGTACATACTATACCATAAAGATGGAAATAATATATTTTCAATAAAATCAAGTGAAAACAAGGAAATAATTTTTCCACGTGAAAATAAGGAAACAACTTTTTCCTAATTTAGGTCATAAACCTAACAATCTCTACCTTGACTTAAATTCTGGTGCAACGAACAAAACTCTAAAAATTTTTCAGCTAGAAAAATATGTCCAATTGCATCGAAATAATCGAACTCTTTAAAATAGTAACCAAAACTCTCCATCACAAAAAAAAAAAACTTCCTCTACCAGGCGTCCACAAGCGACACCCGAATCCAACTCCGGATTTCCCAAAATTCTACTAAGAAATTACTATTGTCCAAATAGGGTCAAAGCACAGTCTGTAGTAGAAACCATGCCAAATGCCTGATCAGAAGGCTCTTTGCTAG